ATTTAATTAGTTGGACACCTTTTCAACAGAAAACATGTTCGAAAATGGAAGCATGCTTTTCCTATTATTAATATTCATGTGGAGATAATACAAGGAATCAAAACTTCGGCTGAATTAAATTAAACACATCGCACAGTAAACATATGACACTTCATTTATTACATGCCCCAGATATGTTAATGGTATCTATAGCATGGTTAGTTTATATTACTTTATTAGATTCGAAAATAATTTTATTGAATTCAAAGTTGTGGATTTAATTAATAATGTATTGTTTGTTTGTTTGTTTTTGAATTTCGCGCAAAGCTACACGAAGGCTATCTGCGCTAGCCGTCCATAATTTAGCAGCGTAAGACCAGAGGGAAGGCAGCTAGTCATCACCACTCACAGCCAACTCTTGGGCTACTCTTTTACCAACGAATAGTGGGATTGACCGTCACATTATAACGCCCCCACGGCTGAAAGGGCGAGCATGTTTGGTGGGACTGGGATTCGAACTCGCGACCCACAGATTGCGAGTCGAGTGCCTTATCCACCTGGCCATGCCGGGTGGTTAATAATGTAAAATGTTTACTATTTTTCAAGTGCAGAAGTAGGGTCTCTCTAAAAAATATTTATATTTCTCTAGTTTGTTTGTTTTTAATTTCGCGCAAAGCTACACGAGGGCAATCTGCGATAGCCGTCCCTAATTTAGCAATGAAAAACTAGTCACCACCACCTACCGCCAACTCTTGGGCTACTCTTTTACCAACGAATAGTGGGATTGACCATAACATTATAACGCCCCCACGGCTGAAAGGGCGAATCAAGTGCCCTAACCCCCTAGTCAAACTTGATAAAATAGAAATCCAACCCACCCACCCTCCAAGAAAGAGAAGAAATGGAGACAATAAAACTTTAAGTTATGTAGTTATATTTTTCATTGCTAGAATTAAACTCTTTAAAACAGTGGCAGTAAAAACTAAAGTGTGGTAATTTGATTTGACTGTGAATACTGTAGTTAATCTTCAGCTGAAAACTCATTTTTTGAATTATTAAATCAATCCTAATTATGGTGTAAATTTGTTTGCACCTTTCTTACCAATGAAAAAAGTTTCAGTAAGATTATGACGAACTTTTATATAATAAAAAATTAATGATTTCATATTTTACTTATCTGATTGTTTGTTTCTGGGGGCTACTTATCTGATAAATTTCAAGTTATACGTCTAAGGAAAAATGCATTTAACTTCCAAAAAATTAAGAAGGAAACAATTTGATGGAACCGGTTGCATAAATGCAAATAGTGACCTTGAATCAGAAGTTTATTGGTGTTAGGGCTTTGCATAACTTCATACATATGTCATTTTAAAATTTAATCGGCTTAAAATGTAAGTCTTATTTATAGTAAATACTAAGTTTATATAAGAAATAATCAAAGCAGCAATAACAGAAAGGTTTAGCTAGTAGCTTCTACAATCGTGTCATTTGTTATGTTGAATTTGTTGTAAAATTTCTGTTTTTCCGTTAATTAAAACTGTTGTTTCCTCTACTCAGACTACATTGAGTCTGTACTCTTATTAATACCTTATAATCGTTCCTCTTTATGTCTTTTATCACATACTTGTTACAGATTCTATATTTCTACTAATGTATTGAAACCATTTACCGCTTTATATCTTCTGTTATATTCTTGTTACAGAGTTTATATTCTTACTAATGTCTTACAACTGTTTATTACCACTTTATATCTTCTGTTAAGTACTTGTTACAGAGTTTATATCCTTACTAATGTCTTACAACTGCTTACCGCTTTATATCTTCTGTTAAGTACTTGTTACAGAGTTTATATCCTTACTAATGTGTAACAACTGCTTACCGCTTTATATCTTCTGTTAAGTACTTGTTACAGAGTTTATATCCTTACTAATGTCTTACAACTGTTTATTACCACTTTATATCTTCTGTTAAGTACTTGTTACAGAGTCTACAACCTTACTAATGTTTTACAATCGTTTACCAATTTATTTCTTTTATTACATACTTGTTACAGAGCCTGTATCCTTACTAATGTCTTTCAACCGTTTACCAATTTATATCTTCTGTTAAATACTTGTTACAGGGTCTATATCCTTACTAATGTCTTACAACCGTTTACCAATTCATATCTTCTGTTATGTACTTGTTACAGTGTTTATATGCTTACTAATGTCTTACAACCGTTTACCCATTAATGTCATTTATTATATGCTTACATGATAGAAAGGAATGTTTGAATGTTATATAGGAGATCTGAAAGAACCTCAATGCGGTTCTCAAATTCAAATGGGATATAACCCACTCTGTTGGGCAAAAACTTAATAAAATAAATAAAGTAAGCAGAATTGTGGTAATGTAGTTGCTGTATTATATTCAGTTCTTCCCTTCACTGAGTGTCCATGATACTAAATGTGTCGAGGGCACAATATTACTAAAACATCTATTCTGGTGTGAAATACTGTGAAGATCAACAAGCAGTGCTCTGAAATAGCAGAAGCGCGTGAAGGGTGTTAATCTTCCACAATGGAGGCTCATTTATTTCATGTTATGTTACTCTTTCGAAAGGAACTTTAGTAACCTGAAATATTTCTTCACCATGATGCATCAAATATTCTAAATAACCAAAAACAAATAATAAATGTAGAAGTGTCACTGCTTCACAAGTCCTGGAATACGTAACGTTGATTTGAGAGAATACTGTGCTCAGAATCTTCAAAAACTTAATTTTTAATTGTCAGTGTTAATAATAATACTTTTTATTTTTGGGACTAAATATATCCATAAAAATAAGCTATTCAACGAACCAATTCTGACATATTTGGAGCTGAAATAACCCATTTCAGTATGCTAACCTCTTAAGCAGAAAAAAAAAGTATTATTTTTTACAGCGTAGACACCTTTACCATGATTTGGTACACCATGGACAATCTGTGCTCTGCCCACCACGGGTATTGAAATCCAATTTTTAGTACCCTAAGACTGCAGGCTTGCCGCTGAGCCACTGGATCTTTTACTATGATGTATCGATTGAAAGTAACTATGAAAATACATTCGCACACAAAAAAGTTAGATTTAATAAGTTTTCCTCCAGCGAATCTAAGATTGTTTTAGCATGAAATATTTAAAATCTACAGAAAATTAATGCTTGTTCGGGGGCACTTCCATTGTAAATTTTCCAGAGTTTCTCACAATGGAGAAGTAGAAAACAATAAGACAGTAACCCTGTACTGATTTTACAAGTTATACTAAAATCTTGTTTAGGGGATCGAAGTTTTTTTAGTGAAACTAATACAACGTATTTACTAATTGAAATTTGTTTTAATTCTAAGTAACAGTATGACTATGCAGTGAAGTTATGGTCCTTTGATCTTTACGCTACTTCGTGCATCAGTAGAATCGTGTTACAACAGCGTAACTAACTGTTATGAATCATAAGAGTTAAAACAAAACGGCGTTAAAAAAAAAAAAACGCTCTCACCACTATTCGGTCAGACAAGAGCAATTCAAGAGCTGGCGGTAGGTGCTGTTGTTTACGTGTCTTCCCTATAGTCTATTATCTCAAAATTAGGATTGGCTATGCGCAGATGACCCTTCGTGTAGTTTGAGCGAAAATTCTAAAATAGACAAAGTTAATTTTTTTTCATTTAACATGTTTAAAGATAAACATTACTATATATTCATGTTGTTCTATTTGCTACTAATAACAAATCCATACCTAGATGATTTATATTAGGCATATCTCGATCATAGAGATGCATTATGATTTTTATTTTAGTATGATTGTGAGTTTGAATGTGAAGTAATGTACATCTACTATCCAAACTAGATAGCACTGGCAACACATCCTGTAACCAGTAGAGCTTTGAAATAATAACAATGGTTACCAATGGTTTAGTGGATCATCCTATGGTAACTTGTGAAAATATAAACTAAGGACAATTGGATTTGTGTTGTTTAGTACAAAAACTTTCACCTCACTTGGGCTCCCACAAAAAGAAACTTCTACACGTGAACGTCTGTGAATAATTATTTTACATTGATTTTTTGTATTAATCGCCTAAATTTAAGCTAGTACTAATGTAACTGTCAGTAAACAAACAAGAACCATGATAGAAGTGTTTACTTGAGACGTTCAAACTCAAACCGATAGTTTGGGAATGAACGCAACCGGGAGTGTTCAGAAAAAAACTTTCTCTCTTCACTCCCACCAGTGAGGAAGGATTAGACTTCTACTGAAAAAGAAAAAAAAAAACTGTCAATAGTACACGGTACAACGCATTTATATTAGAATTTGTAGTGAATTAATTGAAAAAATATATTTTAATAACTTTTAATTTTTCTGTTTTCGAGAAAGATTAAGGACTGATGAGCTGAAAGGATGTAGAACTAATGCACGACATGTTGGGTAGCTCCATATTTTAAGCATCAAACGAATGAACTGAGCTCGGTTCTACCTTTAAAAACCTAGATAACACAGACCTGCGAATTTAAACCTCATAGAATTTGTTTTGGTTTTAATAATGGAGTTTCCATAATTCAACTATGCAGATTTCGAAAATAATATTATTATTTTTTTCTAATACGCAAAGATTGTTTTACAAATCGGAAAGAAAAACTTTTACTTAGATCAAATTATTATTTCGTTTTCCACAATTAACAAAAATACAAACAAACTGAAGAAAATGGAAGAACATTGAAGTCAAACGAATATGCATCCTCATTCATTCTGATTTTTTGTGTGAAGTCTACATCTTGTAGTCTCAAACTGCGTGTTATGGTCTTTTTTATATGTATTGAGTTATGACGTTTTGTAAAAAAATCTGTACGTGACTGAGAAAACCGGATATAATTTTCGGATTCAGCATACAGAAATTACTGTAGAACATGTAAAAATATCAAGACAATAACAATCACCGCAGACCTGTGTAATTCGTCAGTTTTTATACGTTTTTTTAGTATTGGAATTAATTATAAAACATGTATAACTCTGCAGTCAAACAAAAATTTATTGCGTTTCTCATATAACAAACATCACAAATCTGGTCTCACATACTAGGTGAGGCCAATACAATCAACGTTAAATACTGATTTTTAAAGCTTAAAGTTTAGAATAAATCAGAAACCAAAAGCTATTACACAGATATATATACTCACAATTAAGTTGCCTTGCAGTCCGCTACATTTCATATACTGAGCTGAAATTTCTATCTTGAACTGCTGAGATAATTGAGATTATAAAACTTGCGCCCTAACTTGTAATGCTGAGAAACAAAAAAAATCTGAAGAATATTCAACTCGAAGCTTACTAAATCAAGATGAACAACCACATATATTAATAACACTTAGATGACCTGTGTACAGGTTTAGCTTTTGGTATGTATGCATAACTATCGTTTAACTGCTCCCTATTTCTTTCTTCAGGGCTTCCAATTCTGGAATTTTCTTGTACTCCTGGTGTACTGTGAAGAGCTAAAAATATAGTGAATTGAAAGCCGTATATTAATGATTTTTGAATAACTTTAATGATAAATGCTAAAATAAAAAAAAAGAAACATAGACCTCTGCATAATTAACAGAAATGCATAAAGTGAAATATTACAGAATCCCACATTATTGGATATTTATTCATACAGAACGAAATATGAAAGCAAGAATATAGGTAATAAAGATAAATAAAATTGTGCTGAACTTGAAATAATAAGTGAACTGAAATAATGAATTTAATAATCATGAATATTTATACATATCTATGGTGTAATAAACATTTTTATTCGGTGTTCGATATTGGAATGTAAGTAACCAGGACTACAGTATTAAATAAAATTCCTAAATTGCCTGAAATATGACAATGACAATATATATATGACGTGAAATGTGTTGGTATTGAGTTTGGTTGTGGAATAACACGAAGAACGAGTAACATTTTCATATCGCGTAAGATATACGAATGTATTTAAGTTTCACTGTTCCAAAATAACATAATTCATACATATAAAAATATAAACCTACCTTCATTAACTGTGATAGTTTATTAGCAGTTAACGTAAAATAAGCAATTAAAGAAATAAACAAAGAAACAGGAGTAACATATAAGAACAAAATAACAAAATGGCATTTAAAGTAAGGAAAATTAGATTTTATAATTCACATGTTTTCATCACCGAAACAAAGACAATTGAGCTTGATAATTAAACCGAAATGTATGTAGGTTATAGAATAATTATAAAAAATAAAATAAGAAAGAATGTATAGAAAGCCAAATGTAACTCTTACATTACAAGAGTTTTGAAGTAATAGCACCTATTGTTCAGTCTTATCATGTGTCTGAGAGATCATTTATCATATGGGTCTGTGTGACCTGACGGGTCACAAGGAACTGATACTGGTTAAAATCTGAATTATAACATGTAGATTATCACGTATACAAAATTAGATTGAAATTTGAAAAAAACAAATCAAACGTAATATGTAATATTGACGTGATTGCTGACCTATTTTGTGGCTACAATTCAAATGAGTTCAATAGTTAGTTATACTGAAAGACATAAAGTGAATCATGTTGACTGCTGGAATAATTGATATTACAATAAATGGGGATATATATATATTGAAATTCCATAACTTTCAGGTTAAAGTTTCGAAGGTTCTTTTCAGAACAAGATATCTGAACATACCGAAAAGCTCTCATGTATCAATAGTAGAGCATATTATCAACACGGCAACATGTAATGGTAAAAAAATTCACTTGGTTTATTAACCTTTCATAAGACGTCTAAAGACCTTGTCAAACGCCTTTAATAAATAATGTGATACAACAAAAAATAAAATATTGTCAGTTTTCAATCATTGATTATAGACCTGCAAGTAATTAGTTTCATGTGATTTTGGTTGCCTCATCTAAAAACTTTAATGTGATTTTAAAATGGGATAATGTATATTTTTGTAATGGTCTTATTCTTGTATAGGTAAAATAGTATTTATTATTTTTTTTTTTCGTTAAGGTGTGTGGATCTTAGGAGAAAACCACTGGTGTTTTTATATGTTTGTAGATATTGTAATATTAAGATTATAATATTTAAAACAGTTTTGAATATTATCATTCTATTGTTCAGTTCTTTACGCTCATGGCAGTCGTTTTGCTTTGCTAATTTTGTATATGGTCTTAAGACTTTCAAATCTCGTGAGAAATTGAGATCACGTTTGAAAATACCGTAAATGCGAGGGGGTCAACTGATGGCCAGTGTCACTCTGCAAGACGTGATAAAGGCTACTCAGGTAATTAGACAGGTTAACACACAGGTCTAACTTAAAGTTTTTATCTAGGCATATTCATTAACGTGTGTGTTTACCTTAATTCACCCGACTGTTCATTTAATCAGTCTAATCTTTATGTACTGATTTACGACATCACAGACTTGTAGTCTGTTTGACACGTAAGTTTGACTTCATTAGTTTAAAAAAAATAGTAGGACTGTACACAATGGGTCTCCATTGAAACTAAGTCAATCAGTAATTTGATAATAAGGGAAGGAAACTTTTTATATTGATTTTAAGAAAGGAAATTATGTTCCCTCAGCTCCCCCACAATTCGAGCACTAATGAAATGTAATGTAAAATATAATAGTAATTTAAGAACAACTGAAGACTTCTTTTTTTTTGCGGTTTACGACAGTTAACACTATTTTTGTTATTTAGGTGTTAAAAGAAATGAAATAAAGATTACTTAATTATTGTATAATGTTTGATATTTTGGTTGATTCACGAATTCTAATCTTTAAATGCTGAAATCTCTTCATGATAAGTTGGCACCTTAATTTTAGTGTACGTACTTGAACAAAAATGCTTGCAATTTTAAATTTGATGATAAAAAATTATAAAAATCAGAAGCAAAATATAGCTAAACATATACATTTTTTACGCTTTCATGCTCCGGTTCAGCAAAATGCTAAGTGTCAATTCTATCTATATAATTAAAGGAGTGACGTGTGTGTGGGAAGCTTTTCATACTTTATTAAACTATGCAAGAACGAAATTAGGAGTAGGAAAGTATAGACGACGTCACCATATGCATAAGGGAAGGGTAGATGTGGATAGTACTATGCATTGTAAAGGAAAAGAAATTTGGGAAATTGAACTATCATCCCTCAGAGCCCCATCCCAGACAGTAGTGATTATGTGTTAAGCTTTTGTTTGTAAATGTCTTCATTCGTTTATAGACATTTAGAGTACCGGTATCGTCATCCTGTTGAGTTTTAACACTTTCCCTCGATTCCCGAGTTTAGAAAGAGTCGCTACTTCTGGTGTCTCTTAACAGATAAGCTGATGGACTTGTCATTTTTGATCAGATCATTCGGCTCAAAGCGTCTTTTGTACTAGAGGTGTTTGATGGATATTATGTGTTGTGGAATAGGTTTAACCTCGCAGTGATTAAGAGGTCCAGCATGGCCATCAGATTCGTTCAGAACTGTACGTAACTAACCTCATACGTGAGTGGTCTGGGCAAATAAGTGTTTTAATTGCATTAAGTACACAGTAATGCATTCAAATACAAAATCCCACAACCTAAAAAATGTTTCGTACGCAAAGCACGAGTTTTCCTCCTTAGCATTTGATACGGTTTGTTAAATGGGAAACTTAACAGGATGTGATTAATACACTGGGTGGACGAAGAAGTCTTTGCTAATTTCCTGAAGATCAGTTTTCACCAGGTTATGTTTCAAGGGTTATATGAAACGAGTTCCTTTAAAAATGGTCTCAACTACCATAAAATTATTTAACCAGACCTAATGACGCGGATGAGAACAGCCTGGCATGGCTTGGTGGTTAAGGCGCTTGACCAGCAATCTGCGGGTCGCGGAATTGAAACCAGGCGCTAAACATGATATCACTTTCAGCCACGATAGAGCTATAATATGACGTTCAATTCCACCATTCTTTACTAAAAGAGTAGTCCAAGAACTGACGGTGGGTACTGTCGGCAGGTTGTCTTCCCTTTGGCGGGCAGTTCAAAATTAGGGAGGGCAGCTTCAGTAGCTTTGCTATAAACAACAAAAACAAACAAACAGGTGGTAAGTCCCTTATGAGTTATGACAGTTTCAACCAAGCATTAAACTTCAAAATAGAAGTATTTTATTAATAAAATGAAGAAGGATTTAAGCTGGGATGATTGAAATTCAATGGAAATGAAGCTAGGTATGTCAAAATAAGTATTAATACTGAACCGTGCTTAAACAAAAGTTATGCAATTCCTCGAAAACGTGCTCACCAAAGTCTTTTGATTATTGGTAAAGCGACTGGTCAACGTTCACACCACCCGGCAGCTTTCATAACTTATTATCTCAACGATTTACAGTCAACACACAGGTAAAATTGAATACTAGTAGGTATTCAGAGTGAGACAGATGACATTTTCGTCAGAGGCGGATTTAGGCGCTGGGGGGTTCTAGGCAAAATAGAAAATGTGGGAGGGGGCTCATAGCATTCGGCAATAGAAAACAATTGACGGAAGTTGTAAGCCAAAACGATGTGGTACGTTCATTAATTGGCCAACTATATGGTTTTTGGATTTTGCAACTTCATCTTTAAGAATAACTAATAAAAAATATGTATACAGGTCCTCAAAAGCAAGAGGCCCTAGGAAGATGCCTTACGACTGGCTCTGATTTTAGTCCTGCCCACTGAAAGTAGTAGCGATAAGCATATTCCTAAGTAAAATATACAAAGCTATATCCATAACTTCTCTTTACTAAAACTGACATGGTTCATACACATCAAATGAAATATTTGTTTTTTTAAATAAAAAAAACAATAAGTTTCGATGTTAAGATATTTACAAGTTTCAACAATCTAATCAACTTGTAATGAATCGTTACAGCTAACGTAATCACCATCTAGTCGCAGGCAAGAGAGAAGATGAATGAGAATATGTGAAGTTGTCTATTTATGTGATTGCGTAATACATTTCACAGGGTATGACATCTACTAAAACATCAACTGGATGATTATCTGTACGTGCAGAAAGGTTTGTGCGCTTAATTAACCCCATCTACAAATCTGATCTAGGACGATCTAAGTATTACTTACTGGCGATGGGAACTTGTTGACGAAAGATAGATTTGGTTCACACGTACCAAACATATGAAAAAAACGTATCAATCAAAATACACAAACTTACAGGGATAGTGTTCGTATGTCGTTAGAGTTGTCATGACGATTTATCATGTGAACCAATCCACCGATTATATATTAATTTGATATGAATTCTAGTGGCGTAATACAAAAAAATATGTTGGGGGGGGGGTAACTTCATCAATGCAGGCGAGATACCACTTCTTATATGCTACCTCGTTTTTAAAAAAATGTTTATTTTGAAATATATTGTATTTTATCCTTCGATGCGGTTCTGAATGACAGTAGTTGTGCAGAAAAGTCCGAAAATATACTCTTTTGTATTGAGCATACCAGGAACGAGGCTAATTTAAATAGTGCATTAGCACTAATAATTTCGGAAGAGGAGACACAAAATATAACCGTTGAACTATAGTGTTCATTCCACAGAATAGGGTTTTCAACTGTTACTCAATATAAATGTTGGGAGTAGAACATAGCTACCTTAAAATTTTCCTCAGGATTGGATAATCTCAAGTCTTAGCAGAGTTAGTCAAAATGTTTCTCTTAAATTGTAAGCGCTTTGAAGCAAACTTAGGTTCAATGCCCCAACTAGTTGCAAGTGTTTGTTTGTTTGTAGTTAAGCACAAAGCTCTGCCCAACACAGGTAACGAAACCCGGATTCTAGCGTTTTAAGTCCGCAGACATACATCTGTACCACTAGGGGGCAAATGAAGATGCGGCAGTTTTTTTTCCTCCAGAGTTTTCTCTCTAAAGCTTGTAAAGGTCTTGGTTGCAGTGTTTAACATTCTAACAGCTAGAGAAAGGTCCATGTCATTAGACTGAAGCGGTTTTGATTCAATGTTTACAGTATATTACTTTGCACTGGACCACAATCATGAGCACCAACTCAAAGATCTCCACGCATTTTTCAGTCCAATTGCTTCTGAGCACGCGTGTGTCTTTTGAGACTGTCGTAAGATTATACTTAGTGCTTTCATTCCAGAAACATACAGCAAGCAGAGTACCACGTCTGGTTGCCTAGCGTGTGGGGCACAGTTTTATGCGTTGGGTTTGGAGAAGACGTTACGTTTGTAAATAGGTCCCACCGTTTGATGTTTTGACTTAAAATTGATATACTCGCTGCAAAATGACGTCAAATTTCCTAATTTTAGACATATTCATGTAAATGTCATTCAATACTAAATTTAAATTATGCGATAACTTTATCGTATTCTCGATCTCAACATTTTGAACTGACAACCCCATGTCTTCGAGTTTTTCACTATTTCGGCCTCTAGCCCTTCACCACTTTGATCTGTAATGTTATGAAGCCCGAAAAGCTCTTCTATTATTATTTTCCTTGTAATTTCATTAACATCACGGAATACCATTGCGTATCGGAAAACCTGACTAAGTATTAACATCATGGAATACCATTGCGTATCGGAAAACCCGACTAAGTATTAACATCATGGAATACCATTGCGTATCGGAAAACCTGGCTAAGTCGGTCCCCGTTTTTTTATAGCTTGCATTGTGTCCGTAATAACAGAATGAATTTGTTGAGCCCTTTTTATTTAGGCAATTATTTCATTTTTTACTTTTTGACAACAATTCAATCAGCTCGTTTTATATTTATGAACTAAGATATTTTGCTTTGGTATCCTCTTCAGTTAATTGTTTTCAAACCGAGTTCTATTACCGATAAAAAATATTCCACTATTTTTTTCCACTAATTTTTCTTGGTTCTTTCGGAAAGCTAGATTGAAAGAGGCCAAGGTAAGAATCTGCTCTCGGTATTCAATATTTAATTTTAGTTATTTCTCCATGTGTCGTAATTGAATAACACAGGCTGCCCCACACGCTAGGCAATTTCATGTTCTTTGATTTTTTTCTGAATTCCCTAACCAATCTTTTATTCCACCCATGTTTGTTGATGAGAAGTGCGTTTTCGATCTTCAAACAATCAACACCTCTCACAATAGGCGCTGTCCTGTTTAAGAAAATAACACAAACATTTCCTAGGAACATTATTTGCATTTTTAGACAGTTTGTAATAATATCCACTCAGAAAGCATCTAGCATATCGTTTATATATATATATCGCGGAAAATGTCATTTAGACTTGCAAGAACCATTTTTATTAATGAACTTTTTTACATTGGTATCATGATCCATGTCTGCTGGAAAGTTTGCTCTATTATGATCCATGTCTGCTGGAAAGTTTGCTCTATTATGATCCATGTCTGCTGGAAAGTTTGCTCTATTATGATCCATGTCTGCTGGAAAGTTTGCTCTATTATGATCCATGTCTGCTGGAAAGTTTGCTCTATTAGTTGGAAACGGATCATGTGGATGACAATGACTAGTTTCAGCTTCAGGTTTGTCTTGTTCATTTTCAATTAGAGTTTCATTATTTATTTACTATAATTACCTTATTTGTCGCTAATGTTTATTACCTAATAATGATGTTAAAGGATCCACTGGCGTTTTGAGTGGAGCAGAACAACAATAGTTGGACTAGGTAGAACTCTGATTCTGATGATGTCGATTCAGGATTACGGATAGCAGGTGTTATTTTCGGCAACTTTTTTTTTTTCACTTTGAGCACCATTCAAATACTTCCTTGCACCACTAGAACGATTCATTTCTCATAATTAAGTCACTCGGAACCTATATTGAAACATGTACGCTGTAAACAAAATGGCTGATGCATTTCTCCCAGTCGGTCCTGCACAATCCCTGAGGCTGAGTGTGTACGGAGCACTGATTAACTCCCCCCTCCCGCCCCTTTGATGTTGACTGGTCGCATCATAACTGAGTCCGGTGTAATCCCGACAATTGTACCGTTGGAGAAATGAATAATTATTGGCTATAGGATTTAAAACAATTAACAATTTTGATTGACAGTTTTCTTGACTTCCAACCGAAAGCTTCCTGAAAACCCGGGGCGGGCTCTCTGCATTGCAGGAGCTGCAGTGTTTTATGTTACGTCACTGAATTGGACTCCATTAACCCTTAATTTACGGTGTGTTAATTAATCAACTGATCTCGTATTAATGCTTGTGTTTAGAGAAAACGCAAAATCATAAATATATTGTTTTTAGACGTTTGAGTCCCCCAGAACACATAAAATCCATGCGTAAAAGATCCAGACTGTGGTTTGTTCATTTGTTTTTTCAAAGGCAATCGAGACATGCAACAAGACTTTACATTATAATAATTTAAATATCATAAGTACAAGCCTAAGCCAGATTTTATTGTAATGTGTTCTAGAATCCATAGCAGTGTTAGTTGGGTTTCAATCTAGATTATTCCGAAGACAAGGCACAAATATTTAAAATCCACAAATAGTCAATTGTAAACAATTCAAATATTTAACCTTGATCCGTTAAATCCAAGAAGCGAGTTCATATCGACTAATGCAATAGCTTTTAGTGTTACCTTTCCACGCCAATGCCGCATCAAAGTTAAAACTGTTGATAACGAAAACGTTTTAAAACCGTCCATGTTAATTTCTTTAAACTCCTCAAAAATCAACTGAGTTCGAGGGAGTGGCACAAGTAAAACCGTCACAAGCATCTCGTCTACGTGACAAGACACACGCACATGGAACGTGCGTACCAAGCTTATCTCAGAAATACTTTAAACATAGCACGTGTGGAGCTGATGTCTTCACGTCATAATATTCTAGTAAACCTTATGTGAGACATCAGAGAAGAGTGTATCAGCAGTATATCTCATAGACTGTAGCGTTTTGGTACATGAATAATTATCATTAATGGCATGACTTCTTTGAAAATATATACTTATAAGAGGAAATGTGATATTAAACAAAATCAGCAAAAGCATTTTACTATAATTTAAAATGAAACAAAAATATTGAAACTTGTCAGCTTATGAATTTTACTAAATAACATTATTTTATCATCATCTCTAAAAAGCTTTATAAACAATTTATTGTTTACTTTTATAGTGTCTTTACTGAATTAAATAAACAATAATTTCGGATCTCACGAAGCTGTTGACGATTTCTCAAATTCAAGACGTAATTATTTGCGCTTTGCATTATTTTTCCATCGCGAAATAGATTTTTGCGTAAAAAACTCCTGTACTGCAACCTTCCAAGAGTGAGACAATTTTATATTGTCTGTGCACTCTTAAATCACAACACTTTTAACTGTATTGCAACAAAAGTAAATATATATTTGGTTTCTTTATACATGCATACAGATAGATATCACCCTCAGGACCGATTTTATAAGTGATCGAAAAGAGTTTTATAGGACCTTAAGATATTAAAACTGCAATCATGTTTCACAAAATGCCATGGGATAATTAAACTTACTTTAAATGAAACATGTTTTCAAATCTACTCCTTCAATATACTAAAACTAATAGCCATTACCTCACGCTGTCATTAACAAAATATTTTGTAACCTTTCATAAGATTCTGCGTGCACGTGTTAAGTTTAATAATTATTGTACCTTTTGCGGAGTCTCCGGGTCTACTCTTTCAATATACTAAAACTAATAGCCATTACCTCACGCTGTCATTAACGAAATATTTTGTAACCTTTCATAAGATTCTGCATGCACGTGTTAAGTTTAATAATTATTGTACCTTTTGCGGAGTCTCCGGGTCTACTCTTTCCCATGGTGGCAGTTTTTTTCGATTGATTCTTGAAAAACAAAAACAAATATATATATATATAGGCTGAATTTGTTGTTCATTCATTTGCTTCAAATACACTATATCTCTATGTATAAATAGTTTCATTAATTAATTATAGACAATATTATATTAATTTCTAACTCCATTCAAAACGGTTTCTTTGGTATTTTCATTGACAAAAGAAAAATTTGCATGAATACATCTATTACGGAAAACATCGATTGTTTGTTTTGAATTTTCGAGCAAAGCTATAAGATGACTATCTGCGTTAGCCTACCTTAATTTAGCAGTGAAAGTCTAGAAGGAAGGCAGCTAGTCACCATCACCCACCGCCAACTTTTGGGCTACTCTTTTACCAACGAATAGTGGGATTGATAGTCACATTATAACGCCCTCTCGGCTGAAAGGGTGAACATGTTTGATGGGATTGGGATTCGAACCCGCGCCCTGCAGGCTGCGAGTCGAGCGCCCTAACCACCTGGCCATGTACAGAAAATATATAACAACATTAAGATACTTATATAATTAAAGAGGGAGTACTTGTGTTTCCTTTCTTTGTAAAAATATACTTAATTTTGGCCTGTTTTTATTTGTATGGAGATTATTCGAGAATTCTACTTATCAACTGTTATGCAGCTTTAGTCACAAAAAAGGATATTTTCGATATGCAAGAGTAGTAAGTGACAAATCACTTCATTTAATGTTTAACTCAGAACTAAACAAAGCACTCACGAAAACGTTCAAACGTTCTATTTTCATTTTTACACTCAAGTTTATATGAGGAGAAAGAAAACACTTGTATTTGAAAATTCATTATATTTTTGGGTTTTTTTACAAACTTTGACAAAATGTGTTTCGATTTTAATTTTTTGCATCAACGGATTTTAAGTTTCTCAAAAACGTGTACATGAATAAAGATAACGTCAAAACCGAATTCCTCTAGCGATACTAGCAGAATGATATATTTTAATTCTATAAACCTTCTAAAAATGAACAAATGCTTCAGAGTTTTAAAGAAAATGTCAATAAAACTTCTGTTAAGATTTACATTCATAGCCCTCCCCACCCTCAGTAGCATAGCGGTATGTCTGCGGACTTACAACGATAGAAACCGGTTTTCGATTCTCGTGGTGGGCAGAGCACAAATAGTCCATTGTGTAGCTTTGTGCTTAATTCCAAACAAACAATTGCATTCATAATTCCTAAAAGTGATGTAACGCTGATGAAGTTACGAAAATTTAAATAAAATTACATCCATTCATTAATCAGAAAACACTCAGTCGAATATTCAATCATCGCCTACTCTATCGGATTTTTAGGTCCGATTTTTTGGACCCAGGAGGGCCAGGTGGTTAGGGCGCTTGACTCGCAAGCTGAGGGTCGCGGGTTCGAATCCCCGTCCTACCAAACGTGCCGTGTGACGGTCAGTCCCACTATTCGTTGGTAAAAGAGTAGCCCAAGAGTTGGCGATAGGTGGTGTTGACTAGCTGCCTTCCCTCTAGTTTTTCACTGCTAAATTAGGGATGGCTAGCGCAGATAGCCCTTGTGTAGCTTTGCGCGAAATTCAAAACAAGCCAAACCTACCCCCAACAGTAGATTTTTGCTCTTATATTTTTGTTATTTTTATTTCTGCATCAGATGTTGTTGCCTATTCTAATTCATAAGCTCCTCAACTTTAAGGTTTCTTTTTTCTGAAAAGTGTGACTTTTGTTCTTATAATGTTTTCTTTTTAAATATTTTACTTCTTTCCAATCTCACAAAACATTGGGAGATATTTACTCTAAAAAATCGCATAAAGACTGAAACTAAATCATTCGTCTGTTCCAATCGAGTACAGAATAAGATTGATTTACAAGTAGATAATTAACTCGCAAGCTAGCCAAAGTTCACATTTCCACTCTCATTTTAAAAACAAAACTGTGCATGTTTGTATAAACTCTTGGTGTATTAAAGTTGTTTTTTTTATTATAAAATATTGTGCAGGGATACAATGATTCATTTAATGAATTGTTTTGCATCACCTTAAGAGAGAATTTATCAAATCTCATTGAATTGACAGGATTTATTAGGAAGTAGAGAAGTAAATCCAATATACTAAAACATTTGGAATCTCTTTCTAGAAGGACGTGGGTTGGATTTGGGATAGACTTCTGAGCTGGCGAGCGATACCACAATTTTTTTCCGCACGTTAAACTGTGGGTGCGTTATAAGAGTGACATTCAACCCCTAAGTGTGGTAGTTTGCTAGATAGTTTGCGCGGTAGATAGCCTCAGTATCTTTGCTTTAAACACAAAAATTCATAAATAAACACTTTTTTTAAACTATATTAATGCTGGAACTGCTGCTAGAGTGAAAATGTTTTTTGTGTCTTATAAATATTCCGACAGTTTAAATAAAATAAAGGTTATATTTCAAATAAAAAACAACAACACTTGTTTGTGATCATTGCATTTTCATTAAATTTGTTGTAAATTCTGTTACATGTTGAACAGCACGTGTTCTTCACGGTATGTCACTATATTTGTTACTAATTATAGGGCGTTATTTTAAGATAAGATGACTTGTTTGTATGTTTGAATTTAAGCACAAAGCTACACAATGGGCTATATGTTTTCTGCCCACCACGGATATGAAAACACGATTTCTAGCGTTGTAAGTGGGCAGACATACCGCTGTGCCACTGGGGAGCAGATAAGATGAGAAACATTTTTTCTCAAAATGCCACTCTGATTTAAATTGAAAGAAAAAGTCTTATCTATATATATATAAAGTATTAGTACATCCTGAAATTATTTTGCGTACAAATGAAGGTAATATTATTAATATTTTATAAACATTCTATCCAGGACAAAACATAAGGCTCTTGATTAGATATGTTTATATTGTAAACTTACAGTATAAATTATTATTGAAAGTTATTATGCATTATATAACACCAGATATAAGATTATCAGCAGCGTATTTTGTTTACATTTTCATTAGAAATTAAGTTGGAATCAGCTTGGTGTAAAATGCTTATTAAAAAAATAAGACGAAGTTAAAAATTACATGATATAAATACTTTAAAAACTTTATTGAAGTCATCAGAATTTACTCAAAAAAAAACGATACCTAACTTAAATTTTCACCAAAATCGGTAGCTAACTTAACACTTCATCAGAAATGATAGCTAACTTAACACTTCATCAGAAATGATAGCTAACTTAACACTTTATCAGAAACGATAACTAACTTAACACTTTATCATTAACTTTTCAAACCTGTGAAACATACAATAAGGCATAGTAAAGTATGAAAACATTAACGTTGAACTTATAAAGAAATTATTTTGTTGTGAAGTAAACAGCTTAATACTTAACAGTATTTAATAGAAAGATAAATATTAAACTCAAATCGATCTTAATAGGATTTTGTAAATTATTATTAGGTTTATTAAAAATGTCGAAAACGTCATGATCCAATCTGTAAAAATATTTCTAGCTTTTTTTTTAAGATTAACGTTTGTCCTACTCTATCTGTAAATTAATAATTGAGTTACTTAATTTTCTGATTGAAGGAAACAATAAAGATTGAAAATTCTACAAGTACAAAGCAAAACCTTAATATTTATTGTCACTTGAACCCTAAAAATTCTTTCTTGATTGCCAACGTACACAAGTATTTTAAAACTATTATAAGGACTTTTATTTCGTTTTGCACTTTAAATGACTCATATGCATTTGTTTATGACAAAAGAGTTGTCAACAGTGGGAAGAACTCATGATTTATTGTTAGAATTTTCTTGTACAATTAACGTAAAACACGCTTTTCTGAAAGCAGGTGTTTATGATGTGCTGAAGTGGAAGATAGTCACGTTCAGAGTTTATAACACTTTTGTATATTATTCTACACGTTCGTATTATGATTATACGAAAACGTGGTATGGCAGAAACGCCAGTTTTGCACGTTTTTTCCACGTGCATTAGCTTAAACACACTACTAAAAACAACGCTTGTATAGAATAGCACGAAAACTAATCTACTTCACGAGTGATAAGTTTATCAAGACAGTTTTGAAGCTTACACAAATGAACACTTCAGTAAAGGGTTGAGATTTTTATGGCTAAGCGCATCCAAGATATACATCGTTTTCTTTGATCTTGTAGGTTTTAGTGTAATCCTATGGAAATTAAAATTTATGAATTGAAGAATAACCAATACTTATGGGCTAAACGGCTAGATCAGTCTACCTCAAGGTTCAGGCCTACCTGTACCTGATCCTGAACTTGGTCAGACGGTGAGCAAACTGTCAGCGGCACCCGCTGCCCATATGACTACTTTTAAGCGGATAGCAGGATTAACTGCCATTTATAAAATGCGCTCACAGCTGGAACTGATGAGCCTGTTTAACGGTAGATTTGCAGACTCGAACCTTAGACCTTTTGATTCTGAGCGCTACGTACTAGCTATTAGGTCATTTCCAGTTCACTTCTGATCTAGCTTTTAATGGTTACAAAACATTCAATTTATTAACAAGGCAATTAGGTACGTGAAGTATCATGCCAAGCGTAAAAACAAATGGAAAAATTAAGTTAGTTGTGATTTAATGATCTTAAATCTAGAAATTTGATGAAACACATCACTTGTACTATTTTCAATATCATCAAGTGTAATAACTATTTAAAAACTACTAGTTTTACCTGTTCAGAAAGTAAGCAGGAAGTTTAATTTAAGCACTGAATATGTAAGTATTAGACGATGATTATTTTAGATAGGTGCTTGTTATAAGAATATAACTCAAATAAGGAATCACGATCATAAAAAGTTTTTAAATTTATAATATACTTTTTAAAATTATAAAACACAGAATTATATAATCCCTATACTTGACTACGTAAACGTACTGCTGATTTATCTGTTTTGAGGCAGGTGTGTTAGATACAAGTTTTATTTCAAGCGTTACCCAAACATGTACACGTACAAAGTGAGTATGAGTGTGAAGTTATTAGTGGTGCTCGAATATCTTGAACTACGCAATACATTTACATGTACTTTACTTACATTTACGCCAGTTTGTGATGCAAATTTTGAGAATTCACGTTATTTTGATTGTAGATGATTAATTGTATAATGCAAACCGTATTCAAGATCCAATTAACCGTATTTTTTATTTCAACCTGGTATGTTTAAATACATGTCTGTCTATTAAATCGTTTCACAAAATATTTGGGAACAGTCAATGATGGATATTTGTTATAGGCCAACGTATAGATTTTTTTTCTAACATATTATAAAAAATATATATACATATGTATTTACACAATATTTTTCTGTTATATTTATGTTCTGGTTCAGCTTGATTTGTTTGTAGTTAAGCACAAAGCTACACAATGGGCTATCTGTGTTCTGCCCACCACGGGTATCGAAAATCGGTTTCTAGTGTTGTTAGTCCGCAGACATAACTCTGTGCCACTGGGGGTATTTAGCTCGAATTGATAAAAGTAATGTGTATTTTTCCCAATACATTTCGCATTATTGTTTTTTTCTCTCTTCAAATTAAGACATTTCGTTCACAAACAAAACAAAAAATTCCAAAACAGGAACTTGTCTACAAAATAAGGGTCAGAATCATAAGTTATACGAATGTGTAACGATATTATATATATATATATTAACAAACTGTTTTGAAAGCCAATGACATCAGGAGAAGTTTGTTTTTATAATCAATACGGATTTCTTTTTTTCTTTGGAAACAATAATTAAGTTTGACATATTAGTGCCGATGATCCCTGGCGTCCATGCTTTATTTTTTGCTTCTCTCTTTCTTGAAAATGGCTTTGCAATGAAATTTCCATGAGATCAGGGTTCTCTAGTGAACACTCGTATCATTTGTCGTGATAAACTAGCTAACGTCTTAAAGCTACAATTTCCAAGCGCACGTTTAAAAAAATCACTGGAGCTAGGTTTTGTAGGTATGTGATCGAACGGGATTACTGTGATTCCAGTTTCTTCAGCCATCTTTCTCTGGAAAACGGCCGTTTATTTCAAGGTGTGACTAAAAGCTTTGTTCTGATTCACTGCAATCTTGTTCATGAAATTTTGGCATAGTCTGACAGTAGTTGGAATTGATTTTAGATCAAACTTTACTTAGCTACAACTTTTCCTGTGGTTAAATCTTGTGGTTACCATAAACCATCTTGGAAGGCTTCGTGTGCATTCACGGTACTGTGTGTGTGACAGTTCTGCCTATCACGTGGTAGATAAAAAGTTGAATTGTTTCTTTATGATACTCGCTTAATCTTAACCATACCTCACAGAAAGCCACTAAATATTTTCCTTTCTTTCATGCTAGGTGTCTCTCGTGTAGCTTTCTGCGATTGATATTTCTTTCTGCAAAAATGTCTCACCAAAAGCTTATGAATGTTTGGCTGGTGAGTTTTCGTCAACTTCGAATTCTTGTTTATTATCTTGTTATCGGCACCAGGAAAATTATGCTTCGTAAACATATCCTCATTTTTAAGCCATTGGCCCTGATGGACTTTGGGTGTGGTTTCTGAGTCTGTTGCTATCTTAAACGCTCTGCTGCGCGAGTGTGTTTTCTTTTATAAAGTATATTAAAGACTCCCTTCGCATAAATGTCGTTGTTGCTATATTCTACTGTTCGGTAACAACACTCAAGTTTTGGAGAAAGTTTTAAAAGGCTGGTCAGCGGGGTTTGCTTTTATATACTTGAGAGATGCTTGTCTTTGTCGTGGTTGTAGTTTTAAAACCGTTTCCAAATTTACAAGAGATAATTTGCACGCGTTTCCATATCTTGATCCCCAGTAACAACGAGATGACACTATAAAGAATATGCATGTATTTGCTAAAATAACGTTTAAAATAGAAATAACTTTAGATGTTCACTTTCTACCTAACTATCTGCTCAAACCAAAGCGAGCTCTGACTCATCTAAGCACCTGTTACAGAACATACAAGTTATATATTTAATTAAGAAAATGTATCTTTTGATTATTATAGGTATTTCATTAGTATTTTTAAAGCCTAGCACCAACCGTTTCGGTAATATTTTATTGTTTTAAAATGTCAGGAAAGTCCTAAACGCTTACTTTAAGTTTATAAAAGAATCTCATTAATTAAGTTATACATACATTTAATTGACCTATGCTAATTTTCAAAATTTTCATAAATCAACATAATAACTATTACATAGCAGCAAAGCACGTAAAATAAACTTACATTACGTCACTCTTTTGTGACAAGGCATAAACACAGTAAGCGGCTACTCCTACACACGCAGTGGTCAGAATTGTCACCAGAGGTATAATCTGAAAACAATAATAAAAGGAAAAATGTCAGTTATAACAGTCAAAAGTATAATTCAATCAATTAAAGGAGCTTATATCATTCACTGTTATAAAGATGTAAGGAAAATGCAACTAAACAAGTGCCCAAGTTTGAAAAATAGAATAATATAGGCATTTATGTACTAGTAGCACATCAAGGAAATTGTCTAAGTTTTTCAACAACAGTAACTGTTAACTGGTTTGCTCTTTTGCTCCAAAATCTGGTGTGTGTGTTTGTAAACATCTTGAAGGAAAATTATAACACAAGTTTCGACAAACTAGTAAAAATAGAAAGACGCAGCTTCACACAGAATCTTCTCATATCGTGAAATGATTGAAAACATTGAGGAATTCGACAAGTCTTTAAAATTATGTTAAACAAAGCATGGGATGCAAGGTGACAATATTTTAACTCCATGCTAAGGATCTAATAAAAATTCATGTTCACATGACTCCGGCTCATTTGAACACTTGTTTGAGATTTTATGATGTTTCAATTATTAATAATAGATATCATAGTTTTGAATTACTTAAAAACTACCAGAGACACTAAAGAACCATTGAAGATAAATAATTGACGTTTTTATGTTTCTCGTGTAGAAATGTCCGGTTTGGCTGAATTTAGTACCAGTAATTTAGATACAATTACTCATTAAATATTAACACGTTTCTGTGATTATAAGTAACTTCTATGAAGACTAAACCAATTATGAATTTAGTAGTAATTTAAGTATAATTACCCATTAAATATTAACACGTCGTTTCTGCGATTGTAACCTCTATGAAGACTAAACCAATTGTTCTAACGTAGAATCCACATTCAACCGCTAATGAATAATTATTATGGTTCATACTAAGCTTTAGTGAAATTTTTTGATCGCTAAGTAGTATAAATAAATTACGATCTGCGTTCTTCAGTTTTAAACGAATAAATAGCTTAAAGAGAAGAGAATAGAATAAATCTTTAATATGGAAGTTGTCTAACGGTGAGTCAGTGGACAGTTTATGTAATTACGATGCTAAAATCCTTGGTTCGGTTCCCCGCAGTGAACAGAGTGCAAATAACACAATGTGTAGCTTTGTGCTAAAACAAAGTATGGAGGTTATCTTGCCGTTTCGTGGTTTTTATAAATTTTTCAGCTAGATATTTTCTAACACTATGTATAACACTAGTTCAGTCAGGTAAAGATAAAGATCTCTGTGTACTATACAAATTGTCAGCTTGTTTACGTCACATAATAAAAGTATATACATTCAAACCAATGTTAAACAAATTGTGCGTAAAAACAATGATATGCTATTTACACAATAACTCTTACCCCACTTTATTAAAAGTTGCTTAAACCTATAACCAGTACAAAAGCATTGTGTTTCTGCTACAACATTTATGCAAGGATAGATTTATAAAGATAATTATTCAATATCTTCATTATCGAAATAAAAGGACACGTTCTTACCTCAGGTTTATTTCTCATAGCGCGAAAACCGAAACCGAAAGTCTTCACTTGACTATGTGGAATAGGCGAGGATTTATCCCCAGGCACAGACATTGCGCTTGAAAGGAAAAGTACAGCTATGCATAACATCTTTAATATTATACTGCTTACCAAACCAATCAGTTAACAATTAGGTATATTCAGTTTTAGAATTCTTACCATCGGCCACACTTTTTTTTTCAATTTGAACTGTACTATTTTTATTTTAGAAGTGTAAATTGTAGACACTTTTTAACTTATTAGGTAAATGTGACACATATTTATACGTACATAATGCTAAAAAGCAATACATCGTGTAAAAAAATAGCTGCTCTTTCAACCTAAAAACAGTGATAATACGTAACACAACTAAATATTTATCAATTCAGTTAGTGCTAAGTGTTAGCAGTGTCGCTTAAACAAGTAATGTAAAGTAAATCTTAAAGTCTGTTTCGGGGAAACTAGTGCATTGATCCTGGAATATACAAAGGAAATCATATTAAATAATCAAGCATCCATGTTACACACAAGCAGCATTTTTACAGGAAAGACTTACAAAACAATTTAAGTATACATTCTGTTTAGAAATGGGTCTTCATAAACACGTTAGTTGCTGGTTTTATGTTCAAATAAACAAAAGAAGTAAAAATAAGAAGAAATAGGAACCTTAGACAACGAAGTCAGGGAGATACAGAATTAATGGAATAAGCAAGTTTGTAACTTCATGACCAGAGAAAGGAATAATGTAGCACCAGTAGGGGATTGGCCTTTCGTATAATTAAACTTAATTACGCTACATTTAATATTTTATAGGATACACTGTTCTGAGAAACTAAAAGTCCTGCATGTTAATCTAGAGAGTATTTCCTTGTTATTTCTACTAAAACTACTCGCTGATTATCTGCGCTAACCGTCCCTAATTTTTAAGTGATAGACTAGAGCGAAAGAAACTAGTCAATACCACTCACTACAAACTCTTGAGCTACAATTTACCAAAGAATAGTTTGACTGACAGTCACATTATAACGCCCCCACAACTGAAAGGGCGAGCATGTTCAAACTCACGACCAACAGATTGTGAGTCGAGTGCCCCAACAATCAGGCCATGATAGACCACTCTTGCTGTATATAAAATCACATTACAGAGCTAACGGAGTTACTGAAAGAAGGGTTAATTTGCTCAGCCCATATTACAGAGATGTTAGAGAGTATTACTAACGTATCCAGAGAAATGAAATGTTCAGCTCAGATAACAGAGCTATCAAAGACAACCTATTGATATTTTGGTAAAAGGGCTGAAATTTTCAACTCAAATAAAAGAATTATCAAAGACATGTTACTAAATATTTTGATCAGGATGGTTGAAATGTTCAACTCAGATAACAGAGCTATCAAAGACAACCTACTGATATTTTGGTCAAAAGGGCTGAAATTTTCAACTCAGATAAAAGCAGAACATTTCAACCATCCTGATCAATATATTTAGTAACATGTCTTTGATAAACCTCAGATAACAGAGCTATCAAAGACAACCTACTGATATTTTGGTCAAAAGGGCTGAAATTTTCAACTCAAATAAAAGAATTATCAAAGACATGTTACTAAATATATTGATCAGGATGGTTGAAATGTTCAATTCAGATAACAGAGCTATCAAAGAGATGTTATTAATATTTCAATCAGAGAGTTTGAAATGTTCAACTCAAATAACAGAATTATCAGAAACGTGACCTATATATATTTCACTCTATATTTGTAGGTGACATTTTATTTTATGGATTTGCATTACATGCTCAATAATCCGTAGATGGTGATTATAGACAGCGGCGATGGAACACATTTTTATAGTGGTGGTGCAGAAACCCATTTAACACGACTGTAAATTCTCTATATGGTGGAAGCTATATAGATTCAGTGATTATTTTGACAAATCATGTTAATAAAACCATCAACTTTGTACTCCAAGCTAGTAGTAGCTGCTGCACCCTCAGCATCTCCAGTTCCTGCACCCTTGGCTTTATAAGAAGGAGATATCAATCATTTTGGACAATTGTAAAACGTGGTTGATTACATAGGTTTGAGTCCGTTATATTGAAACGATTTTTAATATGTAAATTAGCAAGTCACACGATAGCCTCAATCGATGTAAAGTTGTAGTGGAACATAATGTATAAGAACCACATTTTTTACATTGTTTGGTGGCATTTTGTAGGTGATTCGACCACAGAAAATTGATCGATTTTGGGAAGGATATATAATAAACCTTTCAGACGCAAAGTAATCATACACTCAGATCATAAGTATGCGTTAAGATCGGGATTTAGGATTTTCAAGATGGGAATAGTCCATAGAGTTGGGAAACAAAGAAATATTGATCAACAAGGGGTACCATTACTATCCAGAAAGAGAACTGCATCAAACCGTACCCTAGGCGTAGTAAGCAAAATGCCGCATGTTGTAACTGGAGAGACTTTACTAACCAAAGATCAATCGAAATAGCTGTCCACGTGCCCCAGACAACAGTACGTAAAATAATCTAGAAATATCTCTTTCTGGGAAAGCGACACAAGTCACGTGTATAAAAAATGTTTCCACAACATATCTCTTCAATTACAAATCAAATAACTGGAGAATGAAATGGACATTAATGCAAATCCATCCGAAAACATAACGTTCAAGACGTCAGACGCAGCATATATGGATTTAATTGCGACCAGTCTTTTGAAACGTGTGCTAGAAAACCGTTGCTCTCGTACACTAGATGGCTTATGGAAAGCAATCAGGAAGCATTGGCGTGTTTATGACATGGCAGCCTTACAAGAGAGTCTTTTGCAATGCAATCTACACTATAGGGCTATTGTAAAGATGCATGATTGCCAGGTAGAACATAATCGGACATGACAACATGTAACGTACCCAACCTCTGTGTAAAGTTGATCAGTGGATGGTGTAAGTATTTATTATGTCTAAAACAAACATCATGACGTACTAGAAGTTTATCTTTTAATCATCGTGTAGGCGGATTAGAAGACATGTCGATCGGTGAAAGAGTTAAAAACATTGAACTTAACCAGGCCAAATGGAGCACGGCTCTGACAACTAGTATCTAGAAAAAACTAAGTTATGTTTTATTTTTCTTGGAGGGGTAGGCATGTTATGTTTTGTGAAATCTGAAGTTAAGCCTTCTTGTTAAAATCTTTAGGTAAAGGTGGGCCTTTGAATTAATGTGGATAGTTCTCAAGATGGATAATGATGAAGACAAAACAGCGACTGAGAGATGTTTATATAATATATTTAAAGAAAGACCTGGCGACAACATGCATTCACTAAGATAATTTATGTTAAAATAAGCGGAGGTTTCTAGAAATCTGAAACTGAAATATATCTATATACACACGTACAAAAATCTTAAATTGTTTATCAATCTTGCTACACGTGAACTATAAGTTTAATAGAAGATTAAAAACATGTAAAGTTTTTCTCCAAGTGAGTAGTTCTTGCATATATTTTGACCTTCTGAAACAGGACTGAGAACCTGGAACACTGCCAAACATACAGCAAATACATCCAGCACTGGAAGACCGTCTGATATACATGTATGTATTTGTGAATAAGCAGCTTTTAATTCGAGTGCATTTTTAATAATAAACTATATTTGTTGCGAAGATAAATTAGATGTATGTCGTTATCATGTTTAAAACATTGAGATCATAACCATATTTACAAAGTCGGAGAACTAAATATATATATATATTGGAAAGTTGTAGCAAAGTGTAATGCATTACAAGTGTCATTTCACATTTTTGTAACATTTTGCACTTTATATGTGACATATAACACCTTGTAATAATATTTTTACAATTTACAGTTGTACATTTTCTAGTGGTATTCTAGTTATTGTGGTAATACTGTACACTTTATATTGGCACTTTACATCTTATGGTAATATTGTACACTTTATTATGGTACATCATGCAGTAATACTTTACATTATATAGTGTTATTTTACCCTTTTAGCAACATAAGTCCTTCTTTCCTTAACATTTATGAAACAAAAACTTAAATGTCCTGGTAAGACTTTCTGTAATGTTGATACAGCGTTTACATTACGTAATAATGGGGAAAAGCTGGCCAAATGAAAACATCTTTATCAGTGAATAAGAAAACAATATTTCGGGCAACAGCCCTTCCAGTTAGACTGTAATGTATGCTGTTGTCCGAAACATTGTTTTCGTGTTCATTAATAAAATTATTTTAATTTGGCCAGCTTTTTCCCCACTATTATATCGTCTATTTTACATTCTGTAATTTTCTCGCCCACGCAATTCTTTTATTACCAGCGTTTACATTGTCATACTAACATAACAATACGTAAATAACAACTCTGTATTCCTCAGAGGTGATTTTAAATATTTTATATAATTTCATATTATCTCTCATGTCTTTTATATCCTAAAGTAAAATTACGATTCCTGTGAATAATTCTTTGAATGAGTTAACTTAAATCATTCTTATTTTTGTGACTGTCTAAGAGACCAGAGAAAGGGCAAAATCACACAAAAGGACATTAGTGTAGTTATCAGTTTGGTCGCCAATTTTGATTTCATTCCTTTACGTCGCACGGTCAATCCCTTTTTTCTTGTTGCACATTTTTCACATCTAAGGTGTTTTTGATGAGATATCATGACTTTTTGTCAACACACACCAACAAAAGCAAGTAAGAAAGTGACACTCCATAGTAACCAACATCATCTTTAGGACCGCAACTCTATTATTCGGAACAGAGCTATACTTTTACAGAACTAACCCAATTATTTAAAATATTTGGTGGTAGTTTTCCTCTAAAACAGTATTAATAACTTCCTTTATAATAACGATATGGAAACTAGATTAACAATTTCTTGCTATCAGTGGCATGCACTCTGTACAGCCGGATAAAGCACCATTATTTATACTAATTACTTAAGCTAATATCACGTGACGCTAAACGCTCTTTAATTAGGAGAATTTCATTAAACTTAGCAAATGTTTGCTCATAAGTTGGCATTGAATAATGAATAATAACCGTCCACCCACTTT